CAACTCCCAAAAACAGCCCTTGGACCCGGCTGCAGAAGTTGGCAGAATCTACCCACATAACATAAGGCCAATCTTCACACGTTCTCCTCACACTTCATGAATAAACATTCCTTTATTCAAATAAGTTATATATTAACTAACTCCAGTAATTGTGATTCAACTTTGAATGGTAAATAGAGTCATTCTGGCAAGACTGCAGAGTTTGCAATGCAAATTACAGAAATTTTAATAATGGCGAAAATAAAAATTAGTGGCATGATTCCTAAGGCACTGTAATTCCAATACTTTTACTGCAACAGTAGAAAGCGCACATAAATACTTCTCCATTTATAAGCCGAGGGGTTTTATTTGGATATGCATCATCACACAGATTTACCTGCACTCTCGTCTAGGAGCATCGTTTCGGGGACTCAGGAGGCGCCAGCTAGAACTTCAAAGCTCCCCAACCCCTGACATTAAGGGGTAATGTTGCTACTTCTCGATAAATAACAATGAAACAGTCACTGGATTAAATGATTTCCCTGCATTATCACCATAAACAATAATTATTTGGCAGTTGCCCTTTGCGAGCTTTGCATGTGCTTATGAATAAATCAAGCCTTATTGATTTACTAAGTCAAAATGTTCTACATTTTGTTCCACTAATAAGAGCCATAATCCCCCACTGCACTTAGTGATGCTTTAATGTAAAATGTTCCTTAATACTTTTAATATAAAAGATTAGTGTCGATTAGCCCCCAGGCAGGAACACTGCTCTCTGAACAGCAGATTGGCCACCAAACCCAGTCGCTCTGAATATGTCCTTGTTAATGGAGTTCCCTGACTTGCTGATGGGAATCACATCGCAATGACATACACCGGCCCCACTGCTGTGCTATTTTTCCTTCCTTATAACGTTTAACATAATAATGACAACTCACATTAATTCAATCATGAAATTAATCTAAAATAGTGAGGCAGGAAAATATGGAACTGTAAAGGGTTCTATGTGCCCTGTAAAGTTAACATGTAAAATAATAAAAATCACTCTCAACACAGTGACTGCAGAAGACAGAAAGCCATGGTGGACATCCCAACTGGTCCTGAGGGTCTGGAATCCACAATCTCAGTTGGACAGGAAAGGTGTCCCCTCCCTTCTTGCATGTAGTATCCTCTGGGTTCCAAAAGGGGGTCCAAGTCTCTACTGAGGGAAATTCTACCCTGGCATTCGGGATAACTTTTATCCTAGTTAAAAGCTCCCAATCCTCGGTCAATAAAACTTCATCATCCCCCAAAGGAACACACAAGAAACTTTATTTCTGGTTGTCTGGAAAGATTCCGGGGCTAGATGTGCATGCATCCTCAATGAAAAACGAACTCCATTCTTAAAGCATAAAATAGGAACACCAGCACCCGCCCCTTCCTCCCTTCCTCCCTTCCTCCCTTCCCTCACAAGGATCATAAACCAAGGAATTTCATACTGGAAAGCTCTACAGAGATTATATACTACAACCCCTCATTTCAAAGATGAGGGCAAGCTAAGAGAGGTCAGCCAGGCAACACAGTGAGACCCCACCTCAATTGAAAAAATTTAAAAAGGTGAGATACTCTGGGTGCGGAGGATTCACCCATGGAGCTAAGTGAATGCAGAGCAAGAATTCGCATCTATGTTCCAACCACAGTGCCCCTTCCTTTAGGCCACTTTGATTCCTGGGATCTGTAGTGAACCTTCTCTATCACCATGGAGCCCTCCCAAGGAGAAGCAATAGATCAGAGATTGCTGTAACTCTTCATATTCTGGGATGTCTTTCAGATTTATCCACACAGAGACCAACTAGGTACAGTAGCAGAATCTACCACTATATTAGCTCTCTAAGAAAAACCACACAAACAAAAATCCCTGTTCAAAAAATAGATTCTCCTATTCCCTCTGGAACAACTGCTGCCTCTGGTTACAAAGCAATAATTATCCTGTCCTACAGCAATCAATAAAACCTCTTGCCCCATGAACCTGCTATTTCCTGACTTTGTTCTCTGTACTAAAGATTTCCAAGTCTCATTGATTATGTACTAAATTTTTTTTAAGTTCTTTCAGAAACAGCGCTGAAAGGAATCCTCTAGTTAGCATAAGTTGTTATGGTTTGAACAGTTTGGTCACATTAATGGTTTCCCTTTTTCCTGAGGTTTTCCATTTTTTTTTTTTTCATTTTGAACTTGTCATTTTACAGGCATCCGCATCTTGACTAATAGCAGAACCTGTAGGGTACAAATCTGGTGATGCTTCTGTGGCTGTGGCTGCCACCGCATTTTTCTTCCAAGAGAGAGAAGAATTGATGAATAAACTGTGTCTTCTCTCAAGCAACAACATGGATTTTGCTGAATGAGCCCATGAGCTCTTAACATTCAGTACCACTGAACTTCCACAATAGTCAGCAGAATAACTGTTACACAATACAATCATCTTAGATCCTTCCCAAGTATCAAACTTTAAAAGCGCATCACAAATGAGATCAGCAACGAGGATGGGATACGGCAGGGCTGTGGCCAGGGGTCCAGCCTGCCTCTCAGGCCTCTTCTCCATGGTCTTCCTCTGAGCTTCTCTCCTCCCGGAGTACCCAAGTGCCCAGGATATACCCATATCCGTCTATCCCTCCTGAGTGTGTAGGGCACAGCTACCTAGCACCTGTGTGCAGAGCTAAAAGAGAGGATGGTCTCTAATTCTCTAACTAGAAGAAGTACTATCCCAATATCCATCAGTACAATTCATTCATTGAAACATTTATTCTACAACAGATGAGAAATCATTAGAAAAGTAAAGAAGCAAATGCAACAATGTAATCATCTCACCTCAATGGCAGTTTTACTTCAAAGCCAGATCTAAAAATGGCATTTATGACCAACTTAGGCTGAGTCTGGGGCTAAGTGCCTCCTTACTCCAGGATGTATGGGTGCAGAGATGGAATGAATGGGAGTTCAAATTGAGACCAACAACCATTCTCCAGGGCTCCTGTGAAAGGTGCCCCTTGAGAAGGATGAAAGACTGGGCAGTACAAACTCAAAATGCAAGGAAGCAGGATTAGGCGGTCCGCGCACTCCCTGCCCGAGCAGTGACGGTGACACCTACAGAAGCAGCATCTCCACTCTCTTCAGGGGATCACTGCATTGCTCACTCAGCTGCGACTGAGAACTCCTCACAGGGCCACACAGGTGCTCACACCATGGGGCTTACTGTCCAGGGCCGTATGATGGCCTGGACAAAGAACCACACACTGGAAGGACAACTGGATCTAAACATCTACCAGCTGATGAAGGAAGAAACACAATGTGGTAGATCCACAATGGACTGCTATTCAGGCTTAAGCAGAACGGAAACCCTGATATGCTACAACAAGGGTGGGCCTTGAGGAAACCAACCAAAAGAACTACTGTGACACAGCTCCACATATGTAAAATGTCAGCACAGGGAAAGTCCACAGAAACTGAAAGCAGATGAAGGGTTGTGGGGAGAGGGAACTAGGAGTGACTGTGAGGGAGCAAGAATGTTCTGGAAGCAGATAATAACAATGGTTGCACAACCTTGTAAAGACACTAAAAATCACTCTGATTGGATTTTATGATATGTGGATTGTATTTCAAAATTGTACCCAAAAAAAAGTGTGGTTGCAAAGTGATCAACACTAAGGGCCCCCACAACCATGGGAGTACAGGTAGGGTCCAACCTCAGGGTCAGGAGAAGAGAGGGACGAGCTGATAGTTGCAGAGAAGGAGGAAGAAGGAGAAAATAAGTTCCAGGCACAGGGGAGAGCAGAGGCAAAAATCCAAGGCAAGGACAGGAGGAAGGCCCTTTCTCTTTTCTTCAGAGACAACAAAGGCTCCAGACATCAGCAAGGTCAGGTGATGGATTGAACCTTGACAAATGTCACAAATGTCATTTAGATGCAACTCTTAAAAATTCCCGCCATTTTTACCACTCCCTCCTTAGCAGGCTAATGATTATGCAAAACAAAGGTGGTACAAATATCAAAAACAAAAAACTGACTGTTAACCCCAGGCAGTGGGGGGTAACAATGTATCATAACCTTAAGAAAAAAAAAAAAAAGTTCAAATTTCTCTGATATCATGGATACTTCTAAACCATATGTGTCACCTCAAAAGAAAAGCAAGTAGCAGGTACCAGGAGAACATGACACATACTGGGTCTGCCAGGAGTCTATAATGCAACGCAGAGAGGGGTGCACTAAAGGTCAGGTCCATGGCTGCACTCACACCTACCCAACCAGGTGAGTTCCAACGCCTCTGGAGCACACAGCCCAGGCTTCCCAGCAGGGTCTCTCAACCTCTGCACCACAGCAGGCTGGAGCTGACCCTGCTTGGTTGAGGGGCATCCTGGGCCTTGTAGGAGGGTTAGCAGCATCCCTACTAGATGTCAGCAGCACCTCCCTCCCTCCCTCCTGCCAGGTCCCCCAGCAAAACTATTTCTGGATCTTGCATGTGTCCCCTGGGGGCAGAACTTCCCAGCAGGGAACAAGGGACCTCTGTCCTAGCCCTTGGAGGATGCCACTTCTCCAAATGCTTCACACCCTCAGGCCTCCTCACAACCAAAGCCATTTAAAACTCAGAGAAGAGTATGTAAGAGGCCTAGAGTTGTGTTCAACCTGTGGACTCTCTGAAGCAGAAGGAAAGCCAATCAGTAACCAATCATTAACGAGAAAACATCCTTTCAGCTTTCTCCTCCCTCCAAAAGCAATTTGAGAATTAAACTCCAATGTTTTCACCTTCTAAAGGCCACAGTTGGCTCAAGGGTGAGGACCAGTCCTGACAAGTGAAAACACACCACTTACCCTCACCCCAGTGCCCGCCCCCTGCTGATGAAACCCAAGAAGCAATTTTTAAAAAGCTAGTAGACTTTTGCACTGAGTTCATTCAGGATTTTCTGCCAAGTTTTCTGTGCCCATCACAGTGACTTCGGCATCATGAAGGGCAATCCCGTGTAAGACAAAGCCGTCCATATGTGGGCTCACCATCTGGGGGCATCAACACCTTGTTGTTCTGGGTGCACCACCCTACGGGGTGCAGATCTGCTATGACCACATCGCACCAGAAGTCAGCCCTGCGGTCCTCCCCATAACCGCAGTAGCGCAGAAGCAGCAGCTGCCCGCAGGTGGTGATGATCGTGGCCACCCAGTAGGTGTCTGGATTGCTCTTATTAGCCACCTCCAATTTCATTCCCGGCTGGAAGTTGCTCTGAATGCTGATTTCAACCTTAAGGAACAGAAACAGGAAAACCATTGTTAATGCTAGATACTCATTTCCAAAACATGACAAGAACTGCCAGAAAACAGAGCACTTGAACACAGTATTTCTGTTGCTGTAAAACAGGAATGTATTTGTCTAAAAGAAATATAATGCAAACTACAAATGTAATGCTAAATCTTCTAGGTGCCACGTTTGAGGAAAGAAAAGATAAAACAAAACTAATTTCAGGGCTGGGCTTGTGGCTCAGTGGCAGAGTGCTTGGCTAGCATGTGTGAGGCATTGGATTGATTCTCAGCACCACATATAAATAAATAAAACAGCTAAAAAAATTAAAATAAAAAATGTTTACAAAAGTCATTTCAGAAATATTTAATTTCTCCTATGTCCAACACATTATTGTTCAACACGTCATTAATACAAGAAAGGAGAATGAGGTATTCTTTTTTTTCAAATTGTTCAAATGAAGGGTCCCAAATCTGCTCTTATGTTCTACACATGGTCCACACCCAGATGTAGGCTACACACTTTTCTAATATTCAACAGTTCTGTGAGCCAGTGGATTCTGACGAACTGCCCCAGCCTAGAGAATACACTTACTTTTGTCTCCTTTTTTTTTTAAAAAAAATAAAGGGTTATACTGCACTGAAATACCAGCCTTTCTCCTCCTTCCTCCAAAAAGAGTTTTCCAGGCTTGGAGGTATCAATATTCCAAAGCTGACACATGTGCTGCTTTAAGCAACAGGCACTTAGAGGAGATGATAGAATCAAAAATTTCTCCTCCGTGGGTCCGATGCTACTTTTCCCTTAAACCTGGCACGCAGGCCTGGGAAGAGCCTGGACAGAGGCCCTCACTGCTGCCAGGACACTCCACTGTGACTGCAAGGAAGGGGAGAACTAATGAATCAAGGATGGGGGTGACTCCCGGAGAGAAATTGAGGCAGGCCCTCCTGGTACAGGAAGGAAGGGAACCCTGTCAACCAGCACCTCTGCCCCCAACTGCCTTAAGGAAACTGCCAAAGCACCCCAGCATCTCAAGGTGCACGTGTTACCATGGCTTTTGCAGGACATTATCCACTCTATGCCAGGAAAGCTCTGGTCTTGCTATCTTTTAATATTTAGCTCTTGGGCCAGATGTGTCAGCGCATGCACACCTGTAATCCCAGTGACTTGGGAGGCTGAGACAGGAGGAGCAGGTGTTCAAAGCCAGCCTCAAAAACTTAGCAAGGCCCTTAGCAACTCAGTGAGACCCTGTCTCAAAATAAAACATAAAAACGTCTAGGTATGTGGCTCAGTGTTCAAGCACTCCTGGGTTCAATCTTGTACCAAGAAAAAAGGAAAAAGAAAACAAAAATATTCAGCTGTTGGATTTCAGTAAATGGTCACCATCATAATCAACTACAATACGACAAGCCCAAAAAGAGAAACGGGAATGCTGTGTCCCTTTATAAGGGCACACAAATCCAGGAAGGTCTCAAAGTCCTTTTCAAAAAAACTCTTCACCTCCAAAAAGAATTCAATATTTTGTTAAAATAAAGAATCAAAGTTCTGGCTTTCTCATTCTGTCAGGAGCCAAAAAGAAAGTTAAAAAGTGTCCCAACCTGCTTCGGAATGTCAGGTGAATCTATCCTGAGCCCAGGGGAAAACAGATTTCTCAGAGTTAAATTTTCATTTACTAAGACAAGAGTCTTGCCTTGACTCTTGAGCTTGGTTGGGTCTTAGAAATCTCATCTTTTCCTTGCTAATGATATTGAATCAGTATTTCACACCTAAGCAAAATTCTGATAGAAACTCAATTTTTTTTTTTTTTTAATTTCCTGGGACTTGTCCTCTGATGAACAGGCTATGTGCACTATTCAAAGAAACACTGTTAATGAGAATGATCTTCGGATTAGATTTAAATGCTTTCAGAATATTTATGGTTAGTCCTCTCTTTTGATTCATCTGCCCACAGATGGCTATTATATGTATGTGTCCTTTCAAAATCAAAATATCAGTTCAATAATACACACCATTATGGAGACATTATGAGTGCAACCTACTTGCCTGGTTTGGAACTTCCTCATCTCTTTATTCCTAAGAAACCATGCCTGAAATTCCTCTTTTCTTTCTTCTTTGGATCAGTTCAGTACTTGGCCTTTGCCCTGCAAACCCCCCACCCCCCCACCCCCACCAGGTCACAGGAAACAGCTGCTTCACTTACATGCTTGAAGGATGTGTGAGGAGCCGCCCTAGCACCTGTCTCTTCCAGATACTCTCCCCAGTTAAAGCCGATTTCTTCCAAGCTTGAACCTTCTTCTGTGGGAGAAAAAAAAAAAGGAGCATCAATACAAGGGTAGAGGATGGGAGGCACTGGCCTTTGACTGGGACCAGAAAACCAAGAGATAAACTCATTCAGTGGTTTAGGAGGACACTGCTGAATTCTTTGCAGAGCTCCAGTTTGTTGACTGTGAAGAAGGTGACCAAGGAAGAAAACTGGCCAGATCCTGCTTTGACCCCACCCCCAAAGCCAAGAGTAAGCTTGGTGTTCTCAGCAAATGAATGAGGCCTGTCTAAGGCTGATTTGCTACAAGGTACTGTATTTGTTTGAAATTAACTATGATAGACACCTCAGGCTTTGGGAAGGCTGAAGAATGGAGGAAGGGAACATTCAATCACTGAGTATACCAATGATACTGACACCAACCCTATCTGCCCCGTGACTGCATCCTGGAGATGCAACTCTCCTTGACTATTAGTGCCATAAGGGATGTTAGAAACGGGGACTCCAGCAGGGCAGGGTGGCACATGCCTCCTAGCAACTCGGGAGGTTGAGGCAAGAGGATTACAAGTTCAAAGCCAGCCTCAGCAATTCAACAAAGCTCTAAGCAACTTAGCAAGACAGTATCTCAAAGTAAACAAATAAAAAGGGCTGAGGATGTGGCTCAGTGGTAGAGGAGCCCTTGGGTTCAATCCCTAGTACCAGAAGAAAAGAAAAGAAATAGTGACTCCAGTGACTTTTGAGAAGGAAAAAAACTGGAGGTCCGTGGCTATGAGCCACCTGGCAAGCCAGCAACAGAAATACAGCAGCTGTCAGACACTCCTGATACCCAGTTATGGACATGTCTCCAGCTGGGAGAGAGCTCTAAGGGCCACTCACACCAGTTTCTCCAATCACAAAAAAAAAAAAAAAGGAAAACTACAGTCAAATGCACAACACAGGTCTTAAAATCATAACTTTTTTTTTTTTTTTGTACTGGAGATTGAACCCCAGCCCTTTTCATTTTATATTTTAGGACCGAGTATTGCTAAGTTGCTGAGACTAGCCTCAAACTTGCAATCCTCCTGCCTAAAACTTCCGGAGTCACTGGGATTACAGGCATGTGCCACCATGTCGTGCTAAAATCAAAACTACTTTTAATTTGCACAAATGTACAAGGTCAGGTGCTAATGGAAATCAAGCAATTCCCGAAACACTTGAGGCAGCATGTAAGACATCATTTGTATAATTGAAAAGCACCGAGTAATGCACTGTAAGAAGTAGAAGGCATAAATGTCACCCCAAAGAGCTCTGAAACTGTATACATTATTTGAATCTATTTGCAAGGCTATCATAAGGAAAGAACATACAATAATAAGAGCTGCCCAAATATGCAAACAAGAACTTCAAATGTATAGATTCTCTTCCACAACAATATTCAAGGGATGCTGATGTTCAATCCTTCTATCTTTTATAAACAAGAGCCAGTTTCACTGGCAAGGGTAAATACTGCTTTCAACATGCTGATTAGCATAAGAGTACTATATCTAACAAGTGGCCACCCAAAGAGAGCACAGTTTTATTCTGGAAAACTCTGTCCACACTACCTTCTCCCCAAACAGTACTAGGCATCAATTACTCAATCTTGGAAAGCAGTTTCCAAGGCACTAATCAAATATCAACTCAGCACTATGGGATTTGCCAAAATGTCCTCGTGCAGTATCTGAGGACTGCAAACCTGCTGGAGACAAGAGTCCAGAACTTCTTCCCACACTACTTGTCTGACCTCAGTCACACCCTGCCTTCCTGCAGCCCCTGTGAGCTGTGATTACAACACACTATGGGAACATCCTATGAGCCACAGTGGGCTTGGGTGTCTACACCAGGTAGGTGCCCAGTGTAGCATGAGCTCATAATCCCGCCAAGAACCTAACAGATGGCTACTTAGAGAAGAGCTAACAGAAGCTCAGAAAGGTTAGGGAATCACCCAATCACAGGGGGAGCAGAGGCAGAGTCCAATGCAGGCCTCCTGATTAAGAAGCTGCAACTCTTAATAATTGTTAAGTGCCAAGTTTTCAATTCCATAAATAATGCAATGAAATTTGCACAGATGCATTAGAATACGTTGAAAAAAAATACCCTATATCCTATACGTACATAGGATATATATATATATATATGTATACATATATATACACACACATATATATTCAAATGTTTTCATCACTCACCTACTTTCTCCAAAGAACAGAATTCTAAAAACATAACATTTATTTTTGAAAGGCACCATAAGTGGCAGATCTGTTGCCAAGTGAAGCTGTTACAGATGTGCCACATCTGGGACCACAGGACTTACTGGGTTAAGAGGCCTTCCCCTCATTCTTCTGCCTGCACTAGGCCTCAGAAGCCTCCACCACCACCTCTACCCATTTCTCTGATCTGTGGGACCCTCCAAGGCCAACCCGTCACCATGTTGGGGAGCATTAAAACATTCCACAACCAGATGACCCGATGCAGTAAGCAGGAGGCAGCAGCCACTGCAGGAGAAGCCAGGGGAGAGTCTGGAACCTGCTTATGAAGAAGAAGAGGAGGATCTGGAAAAAGAGGCTGGGACTCAGCAGGGGAGAGTCTGGCATTGCAGGTCCTGAATACAACAGCTGTGGAAAAGGGAAGGGGCTCTCCTGCTGGGCGGGCCAGTTCCTTCACATCAGGAACACTCACAGGGCAGTGGAGCTGCAGGTCCTGGCCACCGCCTACCCTGGAATCCGAAAGAGGCCTGGTGAACCTCAACAGGGTCTCAGGCCAAGAGTGGGTGATTTCACCACTTCAGATCAGGGGATGCCAAGGCTGGTTTCTCCCTTCACCTTTGAGACCATTTGTCGCAGTGTTTTAGCCTTCATACCATTCTAGTCTATGCTTCTTTGTATTTTACCAAAAATATGTTTCCACCAAATTTTAATTTATTGCAAACTCCATTTCCAGTCCCTCCTCAGGTAGCCAGCTGTGTGCTCCTTGGTGCTTGCTGGTTCATTCAGTCCAGCTGCCCAGGAGGTTAGACAGTCCACTGTGTCTCCCCAGCAGCCAGGGAGGCAGTAAGCTCGGCCACTCTGCTGGTCTAGGGAAAACACTTTGTCAAATACCCTGAAAGTCAGACTTAGAATGGGACTTTAAAAATAAAAACCTTACACCCAGCACTGGTAACCTTAATCATGCTGTTTGAATAATAAAAGCCACATACAAAATTTAGGGTTAGTCATAATAGGGCCTTTAAAAAACTGTCCCACATAACCCTGAGGCCAGGGCTCCCCAAGCAGCTGATTCTCCAAAGACATTTCAATGAGCAATAGATAAACACACACGGTGTTTATGAGGAGAGGTCTCATAAACCCAGAGCAAATATTTACAGCTGATCCATAAACCTCTTAAACCCATAAACATTTTATCAAGGGAACTCTGACAATCTCCCTCTACCATAAATGAACCAGCAGGGAGGCACTTCCCATGATGTCATGAAAACCGTCTATGAAAAGCCACTAAGAAAACTTCACAATTAGAGAGAAAAAGCAGGCACATTCATTAGTGGTGATCCAGAGTTCTAGAAAACAGAAAACTATTTGTGGGACCAGAATATTCCATAATGAACATAAAAAGCCACATTAAAAGCAGGAGAACAAGTGACCTTGGGATGCAAAACGCAAATAGCCCACACGTCTTTTTCTTAGGTGGTAAAATCTTGGGTTTGAACAATTTTACTCTCTGAAATGAGGCTGACTTCACAAGGCTGAGTACTGAAGCCTGTAACCACCACCCAATGAACAAACTGAG